CGGGATACCCGTCGCCGAGACGCGTATAACGAGAAAGAGAGGGTGCCTGCCTCTCCGAGATGTGTAGTCGAGAACTGGTGGTGTTTTGAATAAAAGTTGTTTGTGTGTGTTTTCATTCCTTCTATTCGAGTCCCTTTCAAAGTTAATGCATTTCCGAGTGCATTTCTCGTACATGTAAATTAAGTGGACAGTAAGAAAAAATAACGTATAGATGACAAACTAGGAAATCTCAATCTGTATTCATTGTTGTATTATAGGAAGAAACTCGTACAATCTCTTGTATTCTTCTCCCAGTTATCATATTGTAATGTTTTCTTTATCCTTGTCTCGATAAAATAAGCCCCAATAAATTACAGAAAATTTAAAAATCATCGTTTTGTCTGCCAGATAAACAGATACAGTCACATTTCGCCGTATATAAAACAATAAAATGTGTTTATTATCCAGACTTCCGGAACTTTGACATGGATGCATGTGCTTGTGATGCAACTTCAGTGGATTGGAACGGTATTAATGAGTTAGCAGATGTAAATTTAATAACGGAGTGCTTAAATAATATAATATTATCATTATTCGATAGTCACGCACCGCTGAATGTGAAATCAATTTTAAACGCCCTTAAAAGCTTATGATAAATACCTTAGAGAACGATCGGTTGCCTCAAGGAAATACTATGTTGATTTGAGAAACTATCTAAAAACTGCAACTAAAAAGAAGAAAGATGCGTACATTAAGTATGCTACCCTGAAATGGAAAAAGACAGTAAGTGACATTTTTTATTAGAAACAGCATTAGCAGTAAGTGCTTTATCATTTGCAATAGATTAGGACACGCTAGCTCAGTTTTAAGTGTGTCAAAATTTCCATGGAATCTAGCAGTAAGTGATAAAATTGCCTGTCATAACGAGGCCAAGTAACAGTATCTAACTTTTATTTAACATGCTTCCATATTACATATTTTAAGATTACGAATTTTAGAAAATATGCTCTGGCAAAAGGCCGTAAATTAATTATAATAAGATGCTGCTTTTTACCGAAAAAACATCTCATTTCAAATTATCGGGAATACTTGGCAAAAGGCAGTAAGCGAAGATAAGATGTGTGGTCACAAGTGGTCTCTGCGACAAAAATTGCTTCACCTCGTAAAATATTGAGTGAGTCAAACATCAATAATTATTATCCCAATTTTACAGAAACATCTGCTAAATATCAAGAAACGTGTGGAGCTTGCAAGAAATGGATCAAGGACGGAATATAGGAATAATTATCAAGGACGGAATATAGGAATAATTTAACTAAGGGAAAGCTCATAACAACTTCCACCCGAAGCGTAGATTTGCAAAAAGTTATTATGCTTCCTCGCATACCGGGAAGAAAAAAACTTGCTTTACAAGACGCATTGTAGCATTTCACCAAACATTCGCCACAATGGAAGACAAGTCCTCAAACAATAACAAAAAACATATTTCTGTTTTATGGAACGAGGCACTTGCCGGTAGGAAGGCAGAAGAGATAGCATCTACGTTTTACAAGGCACTTCTTGAAGAAAGAGACGTGGAACATATATTATATTGGTGCGACAACTGTTCGGCACAAAATAAGAATTGGATGTTATTTACGATGCTTGTTTCGATGGTGAATTCAAATCTTATAGTGGCAAATGACATAACTATCAAGTATTTTGAACCCGGACATACATTCATGAGTGCGGATTCAGTGCATCATGGCGTTGAAATGTCAATGAAACACATCTGGGGGAAATGCTTATGACATGAAAAATGAAGATTTTTTAAAATGGGTTAGTGGTGAAAGCAAATCAAGATTGAGAAATAAAGATAAGCCTTACCTTGCTGATATATCTGTTGTCCAATTTAGAAAAGGTAGCAGATCGATGTTCTATAAAAAAATATGACCGAGGAAGATTTTGGTTTTCTAAAGGTGAACTTTAGTCTTGATATTCCCGAAAAATTAAGCTCTGACGCTAGAGGAGTTCCACTAGATAAAAAAAGTGACATCATTTCAAATCTTTGTCCATTGATGCCCGAAAATAGACGAGAATTTTGACTACAATTACCAACTAGAGTAGACGATTTAATGAATAATGTTTAAAACATGAAATAGGTGTACTAGTTAAGTATATTATAATTTTTCCACAAGAAAATTATTTTTTGTTTTTCCTTTGTATTATTATTCTCTTTACTCCCAAGAAATATTCACATACTGCTTCAGCATGTTACAAAAAATATTGAGGAAAATGGCAGTAAGTGATTTTTCTCTGCCCAAAAATTCATTTAGACCAACTAATTTAGGTTTTTTAATAAAATAGCAAATTTAACTTATTTTAAAAAAATATAATATAGGTCAAAAATTAACAGCGAATTACTGTGGAAAAAAAATGAAACCAAAATATTTCCATTGTTTTTTTTTGCGCATACTGCCTTTTCACGGCAGTATGTTCTAAATGCAAGTAAAAACAATGATAAGATGTTGGGGAATAATTTACGCAAATATGGTTTGGCTGCCAGTGTTCCAACAATGAGCTTCCTAATGATTCGAGTGACCCAGACGCAATAAATAATTGTTTCCTAAATATTACAAATCACTGTAATATTAGTTTTTTTACAGAGAATTCAATACTCGTCGTTTTGTCTGCCAGATAAATAGATACAGCCACATTTCGCCATATATTAAATACCTAATAAAAATAGTTAAAAATGGCGACAAAAATGTTTATTATGCTATTGATTTGTTATTTCTTTTGTCAACTTTTATTCATCGTTTTATCGCTCAGCACCAGCCACAGTATTTAATATCACGAAGTTTAATAATACAAAGGTCTAAAAGGACTTTTAAACAAATGCACAATGACAAAGCATAAAACATCGCTATTTATTTGCTCGTTTACATCATTCTCAGCTTCGTCAATAATTTCCATTTACATATATTTAGATACTCTCTTTGTAGTTGGTTCATTGTTTTCTATTGTTGGTTATGTGGACCCAAGTTACATCTCAGTTTGGTCTTCCTCTGTCTCTTAATTCCTCGTGGTTACCATGCTGTCATTTTTCTGGTCCATCTGTGGTCCGTCCTTCTTGCCAAGTGTCCTGCCCATTGCCACTTGAGAGATTTGATTCTGTAGATGATATCTATACGCTTCATTAGCGTGACGTCATGACAACTGACATTTGACAGCCTGTATCTAAACAAGTTTTCGGTACCGGGTGTTTTCCATTGTGTGTTCGTTTTGTGTTAAATTTGAGACTTTTTAAGTGTTTTTAAGGAATTATTTTGCTAAAAAAGTAAGTAATTTAAGCTTTAAATTATGTACCTATTTATTAATATAACATAAATATGAGCAAGAACCTAAAATAAAACAAGACATTCATTTGGCTTCGGGTGAGCCTAAAGATAAAGGGTTTTTAATTAATAGTTGCTTTTTATTGTCCGTTACTCAAGACAAATTCAGATAAAAGAAACCTTTGTGTAATTAGATTTCTTGAGTAGCTATACAGAAGTAGGGTATACCCAGAAGTAGTAATAGTAATACTAATGGTAAAACATTTGAACAGTTCCTTATTTATCTTCTAGTAACTGTCGAGTCTTTACCATAGGTCTTTACTACTAATAATGTTTTTGACATAATATATAGCATTTATTTTCCACTGAGATATATAATTTGACCATTATTAACAACATTTTTTAATTCTATTCCAGATCTCCATTGATTGTGATGATGGAATTGTGGATGCGAAGTGTTCCTGTCCAAGAGGACAAGCCATTTGTCATCACATGGCGGCTCTGTGTCTCCATGCTCATCACAATGTGAGTGTGACAGACAAGGCATGTGTATGGTCGCAAAAGAAAACCAGTACTGGTGAAAGTGAAGAGGTGCACAAGTTAACCGATCTCTACAAACCAAAAAGAGAAGGTTACATGGCAGTTCAGAGGCAAGCCTCAAGCAGTGAAATAGCTGAATTTCAGAGGAGTTTGGGACACACAAACCCAGTAGGGTTTACCTGGTATTTGATATCAGAACCCTCCGTAAAGGCTACTCTATTACCTGACATCCAAAAAATAATTTTTTCCGAGGAATATACCACCGCAACTGACAAAGATGCTTTTCTTACAAGTTCTTGTGAGACCACTACAGGCACAATAAAAGAAGTGGAGCAAATGACGAGAGGCCAATCTCAAAATGAGAATTGGCTGATATCCAGAAAATATAGGCTAACAAGCAGCAAATACGGATCAATTCTGGCAGCCTGTAAAAGAAATAAACTCCCCAAGTCACTGTTTTTGAGCCTGGTTGAAGGGTATGACTTGAGTGGAATTCAAGCTATCCAGTGGGGAAGGGAAAATGAAAGTGCTGCTCTAGAAGCATTCCAGGAGGAGACAGGTCTGCAAGTGGAACCTGCAGGATTTTATTTAGAAAAATCTGGCTTTCTGAGCGCAAGTCCTGACGGCTTTATTGGCACTAGTTGCCTTATAGAAGCAAAGTGTCCTTTTAAGTTTAGGAAAGAGGAGAGCCTGAAAACTGCTCTACGTGATACAAATTATATTGTATATTTTTATGGCGACTCATTTAAATTAAATGAAAAACATATTTACTACCACCAAATACAAGGAGCTCTACACATTGCGGAGAAGGATATGTGTTATTTGGTGATTTGGATTCCAAAAGACCTAGTTATAGTGCGAATAGCAAGAAATGAAGAATGGGAGGAAAACTTAGCAGTTTTAAAATCTTTTTATTTAAAACATTTTGTACCATTTATTTTAGGTGAATAAATATGCTTTAATAATTAGAACCTTTAAGGAATTTTATTTTAATATATTTATTTCTACAAAAATAATATAAAAAATCAACTTTTTCGATAATATAAATATATATAATATAATATAAAGACCATTTTTTTATTACAATGAAAGTAAATAAGTAAATACAGTAAAAAAATTATCACTAAAAATATCTTAAAATTTTATCAAGTAGGGACTACATCTTTGAGGTACCTTCCGAGTAAAATTGTTCAACTTGTTTTATTAAGGGGTATTGTAAATTTGTTAAAGCTCCTATCACTTGCCAGACAGCATCTGCATGTGGCAACAATGAGTATGGAATAAAGCTTAATATATTAAAAATTTTCATTCTCTTTATAGCACGTTCAACATGAATTCTAGCTCGAGCAATGGTTTCGGTCTGCTTTACTTGCTCTACAGTAAACTGAGGTGTTGTAAGAAACGTAGGAATATTAACATGAACTCCAGGAGGCATTAGATCTTTAATTAAAAACCCTTTATCAGCCAAAACCAAGTCTCCACTTTTCAGATGATTAAGAATTCCACAGCTTTTTACAATTTTCTTGTCTGATGTTGAACCAGGGTATAAAGAAGACATGAATGTTACTACTCCATTGGGTGCCACACCCACCAATCCTTTAAATATATTTCTATGCTTGTATGAACTATATGTAAGTTTTTGAGTGGACATACTTGAACGAGATGTAGATGTGTACACTTCAGTACAATCTATTATAATTCTGCAGTTTGTAAAACTACTAAAACAGTTAGGCAGACAAAGTTAGTTTTTATTTCTTGGAGGTACTTCAGCCATTAGCTGCTTATATAAAATTTCATGCAAGACATGAACCCATGTTGTAACAATATTTGATACAGTACCTTGTGAAACATTAAATCTGACTGCTAAGTCATCATGTGGAAAGTTCTGCTTTAGTTTCATTAACGTCAATAACAATTGATCTATTTTTTCCATTTTTTCTTCCCGCCACATAGTAGTAATTTATTTCAATGTCTTTTAACAAGTTGTATAAAGACATGAATATTTCTTCTGTAGGCAAGCCAGTATACAGAAGAATTAACTTGTTATTATTTCTAATATTGTTAAATGAAAACTTTTCCAAAAGATGGGCAAGATCTCAGTTGCTTGCTCAAAATTTTGCTGTAAAAACTAGTTTTCTGCTTCGACCATTACATGACAGTTTGGGCATGTTGTGTTTCCAGTATCCTTTGATGTTGATGGCTGCGGCTCATCTAATCTTATCACAGGATCCTTTGATGTTGATGGTTGTGGTTCATTATCTAATCTAAAATTGTGCATCACATATTATATAAAACTATTAATATACATATTCTTTTGTAGTACCTCGTTTCCACACATGTTTCAGAAGTCGGTTTTTGATTAAATCTTGCATGGCAGTATCGACTGATTTTTGAAGAGTATTTTATTTTATTCTCTTCTTCCTTTCTGGTGACGAAAATTTTAATCGTTTTCCTTCATTATGCAAAAATATTGAAGGTCCATTTTCTTTTTTTCCCTCTACAAAGTGACAACTACATAAAAATGCTCCGGGGCCGGGTTCTATGGTTCTCCTAAAATTATGAATAAAAATAGAATCATTTTATAAGACTGATGTACTTACTTAGCTAAAATACCGTTAATTAACTTTGTGTGATGCGAAAAATAGCATACCTTGTAAGTTTTATCCAACTATTTCTAGTTTTGGTATCCTTCGGAAATCTATAAAATTTACACTTTTCTTTAACATTGTAATGGTTACATCCTGGTGCCCAACACTGTACCATTGTACAAAACAAAATAAATGCTATTTGGTCTAAAACTTGTGTATAGATTACAAAAAAAACATAAATAAAAGCTGGGAAAAAAAGTTGGGTTATGTATAATATTGATTTTATTACATTTCGAGATTTTAATTGCTTTTTTTCCTAAGCCATCGATAGTATGTTCTAAATATTACCAGAGTGCATACCTTTCAATCAAAATATCCACTTAAATGCGAAGAATTACAAAAAAAGACGAGTTTTAAATTATCTCTTTGTTAATCAAATCGGCGAAATATTTGTTTAGATACAGCACCCTGACCTTCCTCAACAGGTGACGTCAGCACTAATGTCGCGTATTACCTGGGTCTTTTCTCGTATCCACTCTATTCTTTTACGGTCTTTCTTGGTTATTCCCAGCATATTTCGATCCATTCAGCGTTGTGCGACCCGCAGTTTCCTTATAATGTTCGTTAAGAGTCACGTTTCGCATGCATATGTCACGACTGGTAGTACACATTGGTCGAATGTTTTCTTCTTAAGGTAAAGTAGCATTTTAGATTTGAATAAGATTGAGTTTCATCCATATTTAATCCATGCTAACTTATTTCTTCGGTTGATTTCTGGTAGTAGAGATTAAGAGCTGATGTGCATAATATCTTCGGAAAGTAATCAAAACATTTTCCGATCATATATAAATTCAAAAATCCAAATATACGAAGATCAATCTATCAACATTCAACGCTGGTGTCGCACGAACAGCTGACAAACAATTGAAAACAAGGATTTCTAAACACATTTTTATTACCCCTATTGTAAACTCTCTGAACCCACCCCCATAGCAAATATATATATATAGTTACAGTGTAGTTAGACGATTAGTTCTTAAAAAACTCTTGAAAAAGGCCTAACAAGCCGAAACATATATGTAGAGTTAAAGTTACTCTTAAGTTTTTTGAAACATCTAAAAGCGTGCTTTATTAAAATACTAATAATTGAAAACAATTGAAACATCAGTCCGTAAATCGTAATATAAAAACAAATATCAAACTTGGGGAAAAATCAAACCATAATCAGGTAAAACCAATTAATTACACACAGGAAAAGTACATAATAAAATCCTTAACCCATGTGCATACTGCAGGCTCAACATTCCCACTGTTGCGTTGAAAACAGACGAAAGATAAACGTATCAAATAAAATATGCTTAAGAATCCTCCGAAGAAATATACAAAGAAAATATCCTAAGACAAGCATAAGCCTAAGTAAAGAGTTAGCAACCACTAAAAACATCGACATAAAAACGTCTTCTTTAACAATAAATAAAGAGCGACCAATTTTTTTATAAAGCCTATTTTCTACCAATGAAAGTAAATGATCCTGAGTAGTTTTTTTTAAATAAAAAGTACGTCGGTAAATTCATTTAACATCCTATTAGATATGTTGATGTCATATATAACGAAACTTAAAATATGTGATGGTATCAATGCAAAAGGAGGCCTATAACTTTGCAGTAAGCATTTCTTATATAAAGTTAAAAAACGATATGTTTATATAAAATTAAGTTTTTTTTAACAAGTGGTTTATAAATTTGATGATATAACATCTGGCGCAGTCAGCAGGATTTGTCAACGTTATCAGAACAAGAAAAATCTCACTCAAGAGAAACCTTCGAACTATCTTCTTATCTTATAAAAATTTCACAATGCTATTTACCACCATCAAGGTTCATCTTGAACAAATATAGTCACTAATTTTAAGCAACAATAACTGTGTTTTCGTTCTCTGTATATTGCCAAAGGCGTTCAACATTTTTGTTTTGATGATTTATTTAATTAGTTTTTCTCTAGTGAAATACAATCGTACCCATGACTGCTCTGCTGATGAGAAGCTGCCCTACGCAGGATAGAGATTAAAAATCACTATAATGTATTAAGTTAGAATGCGTGTTGATTGGAAAATAGCGCGAAAGAAATATTATATTAATGATGGACTAACAAAAAATCATAGAATTTTCCAATGATTAAGCATTAGTATCCTATGTGTCGAAAAAATGAAAGTAGTTATTCTTTTATCCACCGTATTATATTTTAACTGGGACGAAATATCATCTACTGAAAACGCAAAACATAAAGCTAAAATTATTTTATACTATAAAAGAAAGATACTAATAAAAACTATGCTAAGGAGAAAACAGGCTGCTAAAAAACTTAGAAACTGAAAATAAAGGTGTATTAAAAATGCGCCATGAGACGAAGATTTTGGGTATTTACATCAATGAATTCTTAAAATGGTTTCTTAAAATGGTCGCCACATCTAAATTATCGAATAAAATTAATTAAATAGTATATGTTATGGAATAAGGGTTACTTCACAGTACATAGACCAGAAAGTTTTAAAAATCATGTATTTTGCAAATTTTAAGTCTGTTCTTAAATTCTGTATTTACATGTATATTCTGGAGTCGCGATAGTATGATTCAAAATATTTTCACAGTGCAAAAACGAATTATTCGAGTCATCAATAAAATGTGTTATCGCCAATCATGTAGAACAATTTTGAAAAAACTTGGAATAATGATTGTTGATGCAGTCAATATACATGAATGTATAATGTTCCGTTAAAACAATAAACATCTTTTTGAAATAAATGATAAGATGAAATACAACATTCGAAATGAGAATTTTAGTTATCCGCTACATAAACTAGATATAACAAAAAAAATTGCCCACTATATGTGCATAAAATTACACAATAAATTATGTCATCTCATTCAGACAAATTGAAAACAAGAACTTATTCAGGAATAAATTAAAAAAACTGCTTATTAAATTGGAACGGTACACTCTGAATATGGAATTGGAAATTGGAAATACGTATTATGTAAGTTAATGATTTACTTTTAAGTTAGCATTAGTTTCTTGTTCTCGCTAATTAACGCAGTTTCACTTTGTTATACAATTTTAAAATAAAGATGTAGTATTATTATTAAAATGACTCAAAAAGAAAATCTTAGATGAATATTTCATAAATGAACTAGACAAAATAAGAACAGTTGAAAACAAAACGGGTAGCATAATAATGAATGATGTGCAAAACGATAAAAAAACTCCAGCTATATAAAAATAAAACACTAATTCACAATACTTTACTTGCCGTTTACACAGCCTTTCAGTTTTAATCATCTGCTGATAATGCTAATGTAGCTAGCGAAACGCGCGTCCAGTGAAAAAGAAAAATGTTTTGGTGTATTGTGATGAATTAGTGCTTTATTTTGTTGTTGTAACTCCAAAGGTTTCAACCTCCCAGTGTAATCCAGCTATATCATATAGAAAATGTTGACATCTCTTTTCATAGTGGGAAATAGTGATGGGTATTACGATTCTTTTTAGTGAATCGAATCACACGATTCAATTTCTCATATTGAATCGACTTCTACGATTCGTTCATTTGACAAACCACATAATATACGTTGGGTTATAATCAAAAATATTAAAGTAAAAATTAAATACCTTACAGATACTCCCGTACTAAGCACAGTATAAATAAGTTTTTTTTCTTGTAAATAACATTCTTATCGTTTGCATTTTATGCCCATGATATTTGTTTAGGGTTTTTGTTCAAGTCTAAATATTGATGCCGGACTCTATGCCTATATCACCGCCGCGCTGTAGAAACGAACGATTCTTTTTTACGGCTCATCGTTCAAATCTTATGGATCCGTCCTGGCTACGATTCAATTGAACGAACCGTATTGTAAGCAATGAATCAATTCTCATGACTCTTTGAACAAACGACCGCATTGTGATCCGATTCAATTCTCATGATTCTTTTTTACGGCTCATCGTTCAAATCATATGAATCCGTCCTGGCTACGATTCAATTGAACGAACCGTATTCTAAGCAGTGAATCGAATCACACGATTAATTTATAATACTCGTTCAAATGAACGACTCGTTTAATCTTTGCCCACCTCTAGTGGGAAACATTGAAAAAGAAAATGCCTTAATGAAATTCAAATTATATAACAATAAAGATGAAAATGAACATAAAATGAACATAATAAGACCTTTGCCGATGCTATTCAAACCCCAAGAAACCAAAATAGAAAATTCAGCCCAAGATTTTTAAAAGAAATAAACGAATACAGGAATAAAAGTTTTGACAATATTTATAAATATAATGCCTTTGAATAAGAAATCATTACGCCCAGGAAAAACTTTAAAATACATAAACGTCGTAATTCTCGCAAGCAAAAGGGGCTAAATAAAAGATACCAGACGCTTTACTTACGTATTAGCAACGAAAAAAAAAGCAAAAATCCAGGAAATATCGTCGCAAACGATTCCCGACCTATCCGGGACCTCCTTCGCGGTTTGCCAGGTCCGAATCCTGTGGGATAAGATCGGGAAGGAGTGGCTTTCTAGAGGCCCGGAAAGGCGGCGCCGGAGTCCGGACACACCCCGGACTCGAAGTAACCCGGAGTCGGGCACCAATATTGCTTTTGCTGGGACTGGAGTTGTTGCTACTTTTCTCTCTGAAATAACTGGGACTCTGTTTACACGAAAGTAACGACGCTGAAAAGCGACTATCGCAAATGTATTTAATCCCTGAATTTTGAATTGATTGTAAGCTGGGCCTTAAAAGGTACAATTCTTTATATGACAATCTACAAATCATTCTATTAAAATGATATATTATGTCGCAGGCAAATCGAATCATCTGACTTCTTGCAAAAAAAAGAGAGTTGGTCTTTGACTAAATGTAAATATATTGTTTCAAATAACTCACACAAATTGGATTGTTATCATATAAGTTTAGGAGTTCCGCAGGATCTAATCTTGGCCCACTAATATTCTTATATACGCTCAAAATATACGCAACGGAGAAATTTTTGGTCAAATTTAAAATATTTTGTTATTTTTAACCCTATTTTCATGAATTTTTTAGCAAGCTGTATATAATCATGTCACCTTTTATTTGTAAACTCTAAAACTTTAGTAGTTGGCATATTATACAGGGTAAATAGAAGGGTTGTTTTTTACCCTAACTTTAACTGTTCAATAATTTTCTTATGTAAATTTTCCAAAAGTATAAGTTTACGGTCAGAACCATGTCTCCTGAGCATTTTGTTTTTTGGTTCATGTCAATACATGCCTTGATTAATTTTTAAGAGCCAAATGAGCTTACCACCAACAATTTTATAATTTTTATATTTCTTTTTTGAATTTAGTTTTCAATGTGACAAGGCAGCTTTGGTGATTATTGTGAACTATACCTATACTATGAATACCTACTACCCATCATGTTTGACTTTTGGTAAACGCTTGGCAGGAGGGTTAGAGGTCTCGAAGCAGTACCAGTTTCGATAAATGAACTTCGCTTGGTTCTTAAAGACGAATGCGGAAACATAACGCAAAATGATCACAATAGCCTCAATGACAGTATGAACGGATGTATACAGGCAGTTATAGCAGCCAACGGCGTCATTAGGGTATTTTTACATTTTTTTTCTGTGTGTGTACTTGAGTAATACAGATGTTTTCTTTAATATCGTTAGTTCTGTTATCGTTATTAATGTTTATTTAAACTCGGACTGTATCGTTAGTCTTTAACTCTTTTTTTCATTTAGTTATAGAGTATCCAATGCAGTATAATA